ATGATGCTGCCACCACCGTGCTTCACAGTGGGGATGGTGTGTTTGTAATGACAGTGTCTAGTCTGATAGCCATAAAGTTCAAACCTTCTTCCGGGTGACTTCAGAGTTTATAAATTCTAATCAAAAAAGCCAAATGAAACTGGCCAGGACTCAACGTTGAAGAGCAAACACTTCCACAGTAAACATGGTCTTCACAAGTGTATGTAAACTTATGTTCACGACCGTACATGTAACTGATTTCAGCATCACCATTTTAAACTAATATCTTTTGGTAGTTTTGGCTTTAAACGTGGGTTATTTCCGTGACTGTTGAACCACGCAGACACTACACCGTCAACGCCTGCCTGCAGCCAGTCGTCGCCCTGCACGGAGCCGCTGTGGTGACGGTCGAAGGCGTCGGCAGCACCGACACCAAACTCCACCCCGTGCAGGTAACAAGCTCGCCGGGCGTCAGAAAGTTAAAAGCTGCCGGACGTTTCTGACTCTTCTGTCCTTCAGGAGCGAATCGCGAAGGCTCATGGATCACAGTGCGGCTTCTGCACTCCGGGGATGGTGATGTCCATGTACACTCTGCTGAGGAACAAACCGCAACCAAGCATGGAGGACATCAGGGAGGCTCTGGGAGGTAAAAACATAAAAAAAAAAATTAGCCAGCAGCTCAGGATTAGCATGAATGAAAAATGTTTTTATGGTTTAAAGTGTAGATTGAGGTTAAAACTAGACACTAAAGACAGATGCAGGATTAAAATAATCATTAGCAGGGATGCAACGTAAATAAACACATTGTGGTAATTCTAGTTTTTCTAGTAAATGCTTATTTTTACACAGAAAGTATCATCGATTTTACTGCTCTGGGTTTATTTTCTCACAGTTTTAGTCACAAATTACGTACAAATTAAGATTATAAATGCAACGTGTGACTGGCATTGAAGTGAAATTGTACTGATTTCAATATTATGCAATGATTGTATGTGTAATAGTAACATTCACAGGGGTCACATCTCTGCACTTAGTCATTTTTTAGTTCATTAATTACTGAGTTCACTTGTACAATGAGGTGCCAAACACAACAACGTATTAGAAAACACACCGACAAAACTGAAAACACAACACAGCAAAAAAAAAGAAACCAGAAAACATTTAAGGAGAGACAGAAGATTACAGAAACTCAGCATTACTTCAGAAAACACAACATGTTTCCTGAAACGTTACTGTGTTTTGCACATACTCCTCCATATTTCTTCTGAAATTTTTACAAATTATTTCCTGATTCTTGGCCTAAATGTCTTTGCGGACACACTAAGCTCAATTTTCTTTGACGCAAACCAGCTAAAGTAACAATATATGAATTAAATGAACTTTCAGGTAAATATGTGTTTACAGTTTTCACTCCTTTTGACATTAACTGAAGACATTTGCTTTATTTTGAAGGGAATCTCTGTCGCTGCACAGGTTACAGGCCGATAATCGATGGATTTAAGACTTTCTGTGAGGTAGGTGATGAGTGCACCTGTGTGCGTTAATTCAGCCTTCACCAATATGAAGCCAAAAGTATCCCAATTCTGAAACTTTATGTGAGTTATTGCAAAGTAAAATGCTGCGATAAAAACATTTTAGAAGTCATCCGGTTGCTGCCAAAATGGAGGAGAAGGAAGATGCTGTATGGAAACTGAAGGCAGCAAAGTGAAGCCCGGCGAGGGGAGTGATGTAAGTCAGTCAATAATAATAAATATCTGGTTAAGCAGGTAAAATGTCACTGATAATCCTTTGATTATAACAAACACTAAATGTGACGGTAAATGTGTGTTTCATTCGTCAGATCTCTCAGGAGCTCTTTCCGATGGAGGATTTACTACCTCTGGATCCTTCTCAGGATCTCATCTTCCCTCCAGAGCTGATGGTAACCACGATATATTATTACACTAGAAACAGTTTGCAGTGGCTGTGGGAGAATATAGCGAAGTATACAGCCTATTAAACCCTGTGGTCTCGTGTTTAATAAGCGTGTACAAGTGTATTATGTTTTATCTGTCACACAATTCTTCTGGAAAGAAGTGTACATGATCACAAGATGAGCTTTTTATGTAAACAAGACTCAAAGAACGTACAGAATGTGACCATTCAAGAGCTGACAGGAAGAATGTTTTCTCACGAAGGCGAATAAGAAAGAATGTGAGATGTATACAGTGCAGATTGTGAACTGTATTCATGAAAATACATGATTTGTACTCCTCAGTTGCGACTGAGACCAGCTCTGTCCTTTGTATTTTCTGCATACTGTATATTGAACCTCTTTTTCTTCTTAAAATGTGCAGAAAACACTCCACAGCATGACAAACGTTACTCATTGCAGCGCTAAATGAAGCTAAAATCAACAACAAATTGAGAAAAGGTTAAAAGATGGAAGCAAACTCACCTTTTTCGTGGATTTTCTCTCGTTTGTAGATGATGGAGAAGAAACTGAGTGCAGCTCCTCTCTATTTCCAAGGAGAAAGAGTCCGTTTGGTTGCTCCTTTTGAGCTGTCGCACCTCCTGGAGCTGAAGGCCGATCATCCTTCGGCGCCACTGATCGTCGGCAACACAACCATCGGTACGCATCTAGTCATCAAACGTGTTTTTAGAGATGACAAATGTAACATAACAGCTCAAGAAATGTCTCAAAAACTCAGCAGAAACACACATTTTTCTCACCAGGTCCAAAGATGCTTCTGAAAGGAGAGTTTCATCCTCTGGTGATCTACGCTGGAAGGATTTCTGAGCTCGGAGCTGTGACGTGGGGGAAGAATGGTTAGTCTGACAATAAAGAAGTGTCTCTTTATGAAGCAGCCCTCACCTGTCCACCTCACCTGTCCCGCAGGTCTGACAGTCGGAGCTGCCTGCAGCCTCAGTACGCTGAAGGAGGAGGTGGAGAAGGCCGTGGCGGAGATGGAGGAGGCCAAGACCAGAGGTTACCGAGCACTGCTGCAGGTTCTTCAGTGTCTGGCAGGGAAGCAGATACGCAACATGGCGGTGGGAGGTTTTTTTTTTTAAAAGCATTTTACGTTTTTACAAAAAAAGTATTTACCTCACGTAGAAGTTTCCCCCTTTTATTGCTTTTCAACATTGAACCATTTTTTGATAGGAATTTACAAAAAAACGTGTCAAAGTGAAAACAGATTTCTACAATTTAATGTCAAAAAATGATAAATATATTCTGCAAAATGGACGGTTGCGTCAGTATTCCCCCCCTAAGTCACAATTACAGCATTGAGCCTGTGTGGATAGGTCTTAATCAGCCTTTCACATCTGGACGCTGCAATTTTACCACATTCTTCTTTGCGAAACGGCTCAAACTTTGTCAAGTTACACAGTGAACAGCTCTTTTCAAGTCCAGCCACAGGTTCTCAGTTGGATAGAGGTCTGCTCTCTGACTCGGCCACTCTGGAACATTCACTTTGTTGTCTTTAAACCATTTCTGTGCAGCTTTAGATGTTTGCTTC